AATCTCCTCCAAACACCTCCGTATCCACTTCCAATCCGGTTCATGGGTGATCGAGGATCTCGGATCCTCCAACGGTACATTTCTTAACACTTTAGCAGTCGATCCATCTCGCCCCGCTAAACTTACCGATGGTGATAAAATAAAATTCGGCGAATTAACCTCCATCGAAGTCAAAATTGAAGCAATGAAAGTTGATTCAGTTGAAGAAGTTGAGATGAAGTGTAAAAATACCCGGCGAAATGCTAGGCGTAAGGAATTGGGGGTTATATATGAAAATTGCCCCCAATTAGGGTTTGGAAATGGTGGAATTGAGAATGTGGGTGTGGGTGTGGGTGTGGGTTCTAAAAGAACGACGAGGAGTTCTAAGAGTGCAGAAAATGAGAATTTAACTGTAATTGAAGTTGAGAAAGGGAGGAAAGCGAATCCGAGGAGGACTAGGGGTTCTAAGAAAGAGGAGAGTGAGAAAAATATGGTTGATAGTGTGAAGGAAGCTGAGAATTTTACTGTAGTTGATGTTGAAAGAGAAACAAAACGGGGTACACGGAGTAGGAAAGTGGAGAGTGTTAAAGATGGGGATGATGATGTGGAGGAAACTGAGAATCTTGCTTTAGTTGATGTTGGAAGAGAGACTAAATGGGGTACGAAGAGGACAAGGGGTTCTAAGAAAGTGGAGAGTGTCAAAGATGTGGATGATGGTGTGGAGAAAAGTCAGAGGCTTGCCGTGGTTGATGCAGAGCAAGAGAGTAAACGGTGTACGAGGAGAACGAGGGGTTCTAGGAAAGTTGAAAGTGTTAAAAATGTGGATGATGGTGTCGAGGAAACTGAGAGTCTTGCTTTAGTTGATGCAAAGCAAGAGAGGAAGCCGAGTCCGAGGAGGACTAGGGGTTCTAGGAAAGTGGTAAGTGTTAAAAATGTGGATGATGTTGTGGAGGACGCTAAGAATTCTGTAGCAATTGATGTTGAGAAAGAGAAGAAAGTGTATGTAAGGAGGACTAGATGTTCAAGGAAGGAAAAAGATGCAGAAAATATCCATGAAAATGCAGGTGGAAACATGGAATTGAAGCAACTTGAGAAAGGGAAGGGAAGTGCCGCAAGAAGGGAGTGTTTGGAGGAAGAGGGGGTGATGGAGAGGTTGGAAAGAAACCAAAAAGGTCGTGAAGAAGCAGTAGATAACAATGCCGACGAGGAAGTAGAAAGAAATGTGATTGATGAGGCGGCCGTGAAATTTGGAAGGGAGGGTTGCAAGGTGTCAGTTAATAATACTGGTGTAAGTATGAGTGAAGTCCAAGAGGAGAAGGAGGTGGATTTAGAGAAAATGACACTTGGAGAGTGGTTTGATTATTTGGAGGTTCATTTGCCAAAACAAATAATTGACGCCACTGAGGAGATGATTTTAGATATGAAACAGAAAACAGAGAAGTTTCAGGAGTTCATGTTGCAGCACAAGAATGCAAAGGGTTGTGATGGAATACCAGAGGGTTAGACCGAGGACCCAGTAGGGAGCTTTACATTCTTAGGTAATTTTTCTGTTGCATTGTTGTTTCTATCAAGAGAATTCATTTTCTAGACATACTTAAGTTTCTTATTTGCATAAATGCTGCTCTGTTGTATCTGTGTATTGTGAACCCTTGTTTACTTACAAAAACTGACAGATTCTCAGTTAGTTGAAGCAATCTAAGACGTCGATAACAAAACATTTTCATTCTGTTGTTAAACTCCCTTTCTGAAAGCTAAATGCTTAGTTTATTCAGTTGGAATTTTCATGCCCCTGTAAACAGAGTTGATAATTTGTTGGATTTTGTTAGCTCCCTGGTACTAGTGTAGATATGGCTTGGAGCTAGCTTTTTGCTATTTTCAGTTTTTTGATTGGTTAGCTTCCTGTAGTTATACTGAAGTTAAATTTTGATTCCTATTAGTAATTCTGCATCTTCTTGATTCCTTTTCTAATGCAATTTACTTACCTTATTAAAAAAAAAAAAGAATTCTGTTCTTTATTGACAGTGATGAATCTGATGCATATATATGTCCAATGTCCAGAAATTTAGTCCAATGCTCGATGACTTCTCAAGTCCAAAGCAGGGATACTTATCATTGAGTTATGCGTATATAGTTTAGAAACAGCAAAGGTCCAAAACAGTGTCTTGTGGGCACCAAACGTGGGACACTAGCCTGTTATTTCCAATTCTAATATAATATTGAATACATGGGCATTAGCGTTCTCAGTAACTGCATATTAGTTATAACATTCAGACTAGGTTATGGAATAGACTCCCATACTGTAAGTTTAAGTAAAATATTATGCGGTCAAGAATTTAGCAGAATTTCTAGTTAATAGCGCTAGAAGGATACATTGAGATTGTTGTTTGCTGCATCTGAGAATGCTTGAAAGAGACTTATTAGCTAGCACTAGTTAATGTCACCTGTCATGAGCTTTTAATTTCTAGTACCAATACCATCAGCTTGTCTCTCCTGGAACTGTAGCCTGTAGGCATTGTTTATGCAAAAAATAAGAAGATAAAGTACTCTATTTAGACAAATTAACTTGAGATTTATAGAGTACACTAAGCATCTATTGACGTATTAAGTTAGCGTTCGAATTTCTTATTGCTCATAGTCTGGCTGTTGATCATCGTGGAAGTAAGCATCGATCATTGGCTAATTTCTGTGTTTGATGAAAGAAAAAAGTGCCAGTATAAATTCTTATGGATAATGGAAAATTGGTTTTTGCTTAAAACCAGGTCGTTCCACATAGCTATGAAAAAATTAAATCACTTTCCTCTATGTGAAGGTGGTTTCAGAAGAGGATGTTTTTGGGAAGAAAAGTTGACATGCTTGGATGGAGCCTGAGATTCAACGGCATAAAAGTTAGAACCAGTTTTAATAGAAGATGTTCAACCTCAGATGAGACAGTTGAAGGCCGGAGGAGGAAGCGCAATACTGCTAAAGAAAAGTGTCCTACAAATTGAAGGGAGCAAGATGTTATAGCAATACATGCTCTGGCAGATGGCAGTGCGCTTACTGTTTCACCTGGGATGATGCTTCTGATTCAAAAATTGTTTCAGCTGACCTTGATTTCGGTTTCTCTAGCATCTTTCTCAACTTTGACATAGCAGATTGTAACATGAGTATTAATGCTAGAGAAGAATGATGGGGCTTGGAGTTATTATCAGTTTTTTGTAAATACTTTCTACTGCATTAGTTGTGCACGCTTGTGTATTGGACATGACAAATGAAGCATAACAGTAATGACTGCATGGTTTGGAATTTTTTTTTTCCATCTAGTTGTTAATACTAACAACATGAACATGTTAACAAAGATGAGACAAGTTTCCATAATCACAAATAGTTTAACGGCAAACAGAAACATCAAAATAGGCAATATCTCTTTATGAATCATGAAAATAAACTTTTAAATTTTACATGTGATTCTGTTATGTCACTTCTCCAGCAAAGAGCGAGAGAGAACTTGTGGTGATGATAGAATTTGCACCAATTTAAATCTTTTTAGTGATAAGTTCATATGTTTCTTTGATTCCACATGGTCTTCCTTTTCCATTTCTACGAATAGTTTGACCAATTCGAAAAAATTGTCAGCTTACAACTGGTTCCATATCTGAAAGTCACGAACCTATGAAATTTCTGAAAATAAAAAGCAAAACGAGCTTAGACCTTTCCACCACTGACATCATTAACTTAGCCATTGGCTACCAAACTATTAAAGAACCAGATTGATCAAATGCATCAGTGTACTAACAGTTTTTATACTTGGTAAAATGATTCTTCCATAATATTAAGATGAATAGTAGACAAGTCAAGAATAGATCAAGCACTATCCACCCTTGTTATCTGTTTTGTTACTGCATTCTAATTTTAAAGGCTGGATATTAAGACTTAGTAGATTGAAGAAACTTTTCATTCATGACTTCCTCAATAGTAACAGCTCGACCTATCTGAATAGAAAGCTGTGCAGCAACTCCAATAGCTACTGAAACCAAACCATCATGTAAACCAACAGCAGGAGCTTGTTCTCCTCTTGCTCTTACTGCTGACAAAAATTGGAGGTGCTCTAAGTAGCTTGAACCATGATGTAGCCCATCGTATCTGTCAAAGAAAATCGAATTGAAAACATGAGGAAATTATAGCGATAACAAAGACTTAATAGCTCAAGATAAGGCAAAATGAGTTACTTTATACGCTTATCTTCAGCTAGTAATGTTTGTACACCATTTCTTCCTTCAGCTCGTGTACCCCAGCGCACAATGCTCTCAGGCACAAGTGCTTCACCCTGTTAAATTTGAGAAAGAACATCAAAAGAGGAGGATGAGTTCAGAGCAAACTATGCAAGATATTCATAAGTGGGAGTTTATTACAATATCAGTGTAAGAAGAAAAGGAAGCCCGATGCACTAAGCTCCCGCTATGTGTGGGGTCCGGGGAAGGGCCGGACCACAACGGTCTATCGTACGCAGTCTTAACCTGCATTTCTGCAGTAGGCTGTTTCTATGGCTCGAACCCGTGACCTCTTGGTCATAACGCAACAATTTTACCAGTTACACCAAAGCTCCCTCTCATTAGTGTAAGAAGCGGAAGGGGATAAAGAGGGGAAGAGATTTACCTTTCCAATATCACCTACTACAGATATTTCTTGCTCATTTTTACTTCCCTCAGCAAACATACAGAGGTCAAGCATGCCACGACAACCATTGTCGAATTCCACAATAACATAAGCATTGTCAATTATATCAGGCACCTGAATATCGAAAACAGAAGTAGTTAGACCATGTCACAAGACTAACATCTCCCAAAACCATGTTTAATTAAGCATGCTTACTCTGCTTTATCTTGAATTGTTCAAAAACTTATGTGGATTAGCCAGTCGTCAACCCTAAACTACGTGATAGTGATCAGCTAGCTCCACAGTTCCAGTATTTGACGAAGTAGGACCAATAAAAGGTAGTTTTGAAGTTATGAATCATGAAAAATTAGACAAGTTTTCTTTCTATGTTTTAGATAGATGACTGCTAAATGTTGCTTTTGCGCTCTTTGAAATGCTATTTCTACAGATTATTTATATCTAATTGAACTTTTGTAGCAAAAGAAGTAAATTACCCGTCCATCATATACTTCATCTTTGTGATTCAAATCCATTGCTCCAGAAGCCATAACACGAACAGGATTAGCTCCAATGAAAAGCCTCATCAGATCAAAGAAATGACAGCATTTCTCTACTAGAGTACCCCCAGTGTTGCAGTTGAACCTATTCCAGTTATCGACCTATAAGAAGAACAAGTCATTAGCATTTGTCACTACAATGGAAGTAAAAGTTGTTAGCTGAATTACCACCTTAACAAGAAATGGAAATCGATGTTCTCGAATTGCCACCATCTTCACTTGTCCTAAAGCTCCTTCTTTAACAATGTCTATCAGTTTTGCAACAGGTGGCATATATCTGTACTCTAGCCCAACTTGTACCAACATATCAGATCTGCTTTTAGCAGCATTTATGACCTGATCCATATTTCAAAACCATTTCAGAATATGATAAGAGGGAAAAAGTGAATGTTTCATAGCTGAAAACAAGAGGCCTAGGAACTCTACAGAAGTAAGTCAATGTCTCCAGAAGATACATGCAAAAAATTTATGCTAATGCCGGTTTTTTGTTTCTCATGGAATAGAGGTATTTGAGATACTACTGACCTTTTGGCAGTCTGAAACATTTGTGCACAAAGGCTTCTCAACCAACACATGATGGGGTTTTGGATGATTGATGATATCCATTAGAATTTCATAGTGAGTCATGTTTGGAGTTGATACTACCACCACATCACACAGCCGACTTTCTAACATCTGCTTGTGCCCTGCAAAAACCTGTATGCAATGCAACGACATATCAAAATGTTACTCATCATTAAAGAAAAGGAAAAGATGCTAAAAGAAACATGTAACAATAATGTCTGTAGTGACTTCTTTTAAGTGAGTACATTGTAAAACAACCATCCTATAGCAGTAAATGGATGACACATTCATTCCCATATTATGCTTTTGCAACTGATACTTCCTAATATGTTTTGAGTAAAAAATGTGTTGTTTGACGGTGTCTTTCATGGACAATGGGGTTCATAGCAAAGTTCAGCAAAAGAAACCTTAATGCTTGACCAAGAATTGAGATTTTATAGGGCGCTGAATCTTTTCTACTCCCAGTTAATTAACCAGATTACTAGCTCAAATTCAAGGTTATATATCCATCTTCCTTCCAGCAGCAGGTACCACATGATAGATGACTTTATAAGCTGAGGTTTCCATTCATATATTTTAGATCGTAAAGGGCTTCTGAGTTTCTTTTTGTTTCTCCCGGTGTCCAGTACCGGCTTTGAGGCCAACAGAAACCCGGACTGGTGCCGGAAAGTCCAACTTTGGTTGTAAGTAAAGTGCTCTCTACCAAAGGCAATTCCATTCCCACGATTCGAACTTGACATCTCTGGCCAAGGATGGAGGGATAATTACCACCACACCACAACCTTGGGTGGTAAGGGCTTCTGAGTTGTTTATTTGTCTCACAAACTATTTCAAATATGGCTTCAGATTTTTTTAGCAATTCAATACCAAGGGGTTCTATTACATAATAAACATAACAATAATAACAATTATTATTATTATTATTATTATTACTATTATTATTATTATTATAGTTATAAGTGATTCAAATATAAAAGTGAAAAAAGAATTTTTGATTGCAGACATTGAATTCCGCCAGCAACAAGAATGGGAAGGAGTGATCCTAAAAGTTGACAAAGAAACAGCAAAAGATTTTTAAAGCTCAATAACATTTAAGAATGTAACAGTTCTTTTTTTTTTTTTACTTTCAAAACTTCTAACAAATTCAAAAGCCAGACCATTCATTGTATCTAGACATGATATGTTGATAGTGTTAACAGTAATAACAAATCTTTTGAAACTCCGCCAGATATGGATCTACCTTTTTTGCAGTTGGTGCAAACGTCCCATTGCTTTCGACTAGAACTACGTAAAAAAATTTAAATATACATTTAAACTATATCCAAATTCATTGTTAGCAACATGTAGCGATTGCAGGTTTACTCTGCCCCAGTTAATCTAAAATCTTGAATGTGCCTTTGAACAGGCTGAAAGTGTCTTTAGGCTATTTGCATGAGGCCTAGTGATCAATGGAGTACGTGAAAATCATCACCGGAAATAAGGATTTAAATCTTCTATCTGCCTAACCCTTGGTAGGTAGAGTTACGTGATGATCAATCAGGTACACAATAAAATAGTAGACTTACGTGTCAAGCTAATCCGGACACCATTATAATAAAACCAAAGTGGAAAACTAAGAAATTAACAAAATTGTGACAGGATGATTTAATTCATACCTGGAGAGGCCAGTTAAACGATTCTGCTAACTTTTGGGCATATTTTTGAGAAGGGACATGTGGGTCTGCTATACAAACAACAGCAACTCCTTCACTTTTGAGATGATAAAGATTGATTAAATGTTCTCTTCCCATCATCCCAACACCAATTATCCCATACTTAACTATTGCTACCATTGCTGCAGAGTAATCTAATTCTTGAAAATAAAAACAGAGAAGCAATGTCTCCACAAATCTCTCACAGAGATACTCTATAATGCAGTTACAAGTTGGTCACTTGCTTCATATATATATATATATATATATCCTAAGATATGAATTGACCTAAGTTGTTCAGCCGTGGAAGCCAATGATGCTTGGATGCAGCCCATCCCAGGACCCCGGACCATAAAGCGGATACTTTGTGCACCGAACTATTTTTTATGAGCTGACCAATTGGGTTTGTATGTTTTTAGCATCTATCATTTCAAAAGAATTAAATAAAATAATAATTCTACAGAAAATTAAAAATAATACTAAGTTAAGTGTTGTGCGGCTGCGTGACTAAGTGTGTATGGCTGCAACAGTATTATGTCAATTTGGATGATAGAGACTCACAGATCTGAGGAGTTGGACTAATAAAGAAGTATATCTTGTAATTATTGAGTGCCAATATTGTGTAAGGAAGGAATATTATATTATTCCAATTTTAAAATATTTTCTTACCATTATTTTAGACTTAGTCATATGATTATGTACGTTCCATACTTGGACATGTAGATCTTTCTTTAAAATAATTTTTTATGTCTATCCTTATTAAAAAAGGAATATTAATTTTTATATGGTACGAAATACCAACCCCTTAAGAACCTAAACCTACTTTGACCAATGTGCATCCACCTTTCATCCATAGTAGCCGCCACTGCCACTATAAAGCCGCATATGTGAAGGAAAATATTTGTCCTATCTAACGTAGAGTTAAGTTAGATAATAAATACATATACGATAAGCATATGTATTATATTAATTAATTTTTGTGAAAAAGGTGGCGAAACCATATTTAATGAAGGGGTTCAATTAAATTATCTTTGTTGGAACTTGGAAATTGTATTGTAATATAGGTGAATACTCTTTTTACGTGTATTATGTATAAATTGTTGAATTTCTTAAATTTAAGCGAGTTTTTTTTTCTTTTTTTGAATTTTCTGTTTTGCAATTGCGTGTATACTAGCGATTATATATTTAAAAAGTTTATACATTTTCTTGGCACTAAATTTGCCAAATAATATAGATGAATTACAGCCCACTACTCTATCTTCTTCTCAATCATATTGCTCCTATATTAGCCAATTTCAATGATGTAAATTTTAATTTTTTTTCCTATATTTGTTCACATATGATACTCTTCTAATTTATTGTTGATGGCTACTTTAAAATCAAGTCAATTTATCAATATTCCAATACAAAATCTTATCCTAATTCGTTGTATAATTCTTGGATATTGGATACTTCTGGATATATGTGCATGGACCAATTGATCTGCAATCGTGGATATGTGTCACCCTCGAAAAAGACGTACATCAAGAAACCTAACTTACCAATCTCTCATGAATTCTCAAATAAGTGAGAGTGAAGTTATTTCCGTGTGACTAATAGGTCACAAATTTGATCCGTAAAAATAGTTAATTAGTTACTAACGCTTGCATTAGGTTAGGTTGTTTACATCACACACTAGAAATGCGGTTTTTCCTTAGATCTTGCGTGAATGCGGGATGCTTTGTGCATCAGACTGCCCTTTAATCCTTTACCAAGTAAGGATAAGGTCTTCATATACACTACCCTCCTCAAACTCCATTCGTGAAATTACATTAGATTTGTTGTAGTTGCTGTTAAAGAACAAACCCCCCTTTTTCTTTTTTCAAAAACTTGTCATATTTTTTTTTTCCTCAAAAGGTAAAGAATTAACTTCGCGTAAACATCCGATATAAGTTAGTAGTCTTTAACAGTATGTACCTCCTCCATTTTCCGTTCCCACATCTCTACATGGGGTTATTTATTTATCTGGGAGAAATCTCTTAGGGTCGTTTGGCATGGGTATAAGAAGGTATAGTACTAGTATAAAAATTTAATATCACCTTAATACTTCGTTTGGTTAGCAAATCAGGTATAAGTTATCCCAGGATTAAAATTAACAC